CATAAAATCATTGAAACTGCAGCAAACTGCTGAGTGGCCACCTTTGAGTCTTGCAGTAACTATCCTTTTAGTCTGGTATTAGCTATATTTTATCATTTAGGTAACACTGTGTATGAACTGTTAAGCCTGCAACTGGGCTTCAGGACAGGTATTTAAGCGCTCCACAGGAAGAGAGGAAAGCTGCTTTCCAGAGGAGAAGAATAGCAACCTATAACTGTGGGTGGACGCAGTTAATCTCCTGTTATCTGTTCCCATAGCCAAATTATGCTCCTATCAGTGTTAGTCCTGTCCCTGCCAATGCAATTACAAAGCCTTGCTGGTTTATATCTCTTAGTGAGTTTGCTGCTGCCCAGTTCCCCTGGCTGGGTCAGGCAGGGGCTCTGTCTGCAAAATGGCCTGACCCAAGCAAACCTGCTCCCTGCTGCTGCAAAGCTCCTTGTCCTGCTCCCTAATCATCCCTAATCCCAGCAGCTGATTCCCCTGATTATGTGTCAGAACACGAGGGCAGCCTGTTTAAAAGGAGCTGTTTTCCAAGCAGCACCACTTCCTCTCCTCAGCTCAGGGACGTGGGTTTGACACAAGAGGTGTCTCAGAGATGGCTCTGGGCTGCAGCATGGGAGGACAGCATGTGTCTGTCAGGATAACACTTAGCTCACTTTGGGCTCTTTGCCCTATTTTCTGCCTTTCTGGCTGCTGTACAGATAATAGAACCCCTCCAGAGCAGAGGAAGTCTGGCACTGAACAGGATTCTTTCGAGTAATGCACGGCCCTGGTGGGTATTAATTCTGGTAGTTTAGGCAGGTGTATGTTAGTGATCCTGGAAACTAAATACAGATTTCCATGGCAGAGGTTTAGTTTTTATAATGCTATTTTCTGAAATACTAGAGTGTCTGCAGAGTCTGAAGTTGCCCTGTGCTGATTTGGTTGGTGAACAGCAAAAAGAAAACTCCTGAGAAGTTATTGATGTTGAGGCTGGGGGACCAAGTAATTGGCAAAAAAAGAAAAAAACGTTTACAGAAACATTGAAGAGAAGCTTGAAATATAAATATGAATAATTATTTCTCAAGCTTGAGAAATAATTTTCAATTATTTCTGAATACAAATCACTATGTTGATTTATCCAAATACTGCAGAACACCCAACCAGGTCCCAACCATAGCTAGAAAGGAGCTGACTCACCAGATTTATTCATGACTGTTCATTTATCAGAGCAGCTTTCTCTCTTCTGTTTGTAAGCATGACTCACTTCTATAGCCACCAGATCAGATCACAGTTTCATCTTGTCTTGTGTCAACACAAACATGTCCCTGTCCTGTTTAAAATCATTCTTTGCTTCCTATGTGTTCTCTGAGTTGTGCCATGGTGGGAAAATCTTCATGGGCTTTGATTCCCCTTAGTTCTTCCTTCCTCCCTACACGTGTTCCCATGCTGATTTGTCTTTTCCTCATGCTGTAATTGGGCTGGTGCCACCGTGTAATTTTTAACTGTGTGCAGTATCAACAGACCTCCATCTGTCTCTCCTCCAGAGCTTTCCAGCCTGCTGTTATAAATATCTGCCAAATCCTTCTCCAAAGAGAGGATCACCAGATTTCAACTGTTTGCAAAATAAGAGCTGCTGCCAGAAACCCTCTCCCACCGTCTGCAACCTGTGCAGAACCTGTCCCTGCTCGGGGAGGGATGGCACTGCTGGCACAGGGGGGCTCAGAATGGAATTCATTGTCCCTCAGAAGTTGTGGAGGTCTCTTGGCTCAAGTATCTCATCATATGTGTCATTTTATTAGACAATAACCTTCAATAACCATCAGATAAAATCAAACTAACTTGTATGTAGGGGTAGGTGTTTTTTCCCTTTTAAAATGCAATTCTGATTTAAAACATGCATTGGTGTGGATCAGTTCCAGTGTTGTTTTAAAAGATGCTTTACTTGACCTGGAAGGGTCTGAGAGTTCGCTCCCCTTTTCCAGCCTGTCACTTAGGGGCTGAAGACTAGTTACCATGATCTAACTGATTGGACTTGCTGAGAGAAGTTTAATCTTCCAACTCTCTATATTTTTCCATCAGAATAAATCATTAGAATAGGCAAAAACCAGACTTGATTAGATTGTGCACAATTAAAAAAAAAGGCAATTTTTAACATGGATAAAATAAAATTATATATCAATGCAGTTGGATAAAGTAAACATTCTAGATTATGATGTAGGTGCCCTTTGACACTTGAAGCCATTCTCATATTCTCTGTTAATTGGTTCAGAGCTCTGTCAGACTGATGTGGCTTTGTGAGTTGAATTGTGTTTCTTGGGCTCCAACCCACACACATGTTAGTGTTTGCTGGTGGTGTGGCAGCTTGCTCTGCCTGGGGAATTCCCAAGGAACCTCTTCAGGTACTGCTGCACACATCAAATTAAAAATAAATGTCTGCTCGAAGTAAAAACCTGCCTAGTTAATATTAGATCCAAGAAACCAGGTTTCTGTTATAGCTGTGGAACATTGGAGTAAGTCAGCACAAAGGATATTTCAAGGTTGGTTCAGGAGAGGGTTTCATGTTTGGATCTGCTGCATCTTAGATCTGGAGAGCTCTGCAGAGGAATATAAGGAATGTAAAGCATCCTGAGGGGTTGGTAAATCCTCTTTACAGTCTACTTTCTGCGTAACATGGTATTTTCAAGAGGCAGAGAAGTGGGTACCATGTGTTGGACATGGAAAATGTGCAAAGTGGCTTTTTGTAGAGGGAAGCACCTTAAGCACTGAAGAAACTTGGGAGTTGTTTCATGATGTGTCATCAGGTAAAAAAAAATACTGGTATTTCCATTGTCTAGATTGCAATGTGGATTCGGTGCCCATTTTTGAAGGTTTTAGGGCAATTATTTCCATTATTTCCTTAGGAGGGTGTGCAACCACTTGATAATACATTATGACAGCAGGAAAATATGTACACACAAGCCTGAGCCTGCAGGACAGCTGTACTTACTCCCAAATGAAAAATATCCTCAGCCCTTGCTGGGGTGGCAGGGAGCACAGGGAGCAGGGACAGGGCTGTGCTTGCCAGGCTGAGATCCAACCCCCAGCTCAGTCTGATTTTCTGCAGCAAGATTTTCTCAGAAAGGAACAGCCATGGTTTCTTCTAAAGTGTCCAGGAGATAAAAAGCAGATGGCATTGATTAGCTAATTAGTAATATTTTCTGCACCTTATCTGTTGTTCTTGATGTGCGCAAAGTTTGCAAAATCTTGGGGTGAGGATTTGTTGAAGAAATCAACCCTTTTAAAATCTGGAGAGGAGGGTAGCTAACATACAAATATATAATTTTATGGCCAGCAGAAATAGGTTAATCTTTTTTCTTTGAATTAATATTCAGGGCTCATTCCTTCAATTTTAAAGGGAATATGCACAATGAGATTGCAGCTCTCCTAACTCTTGCCTTGACTGCTTAGTGCATTGTGTGAGGTGCACATCCTATTCCTCTTTGTAGGTGTGCTCCTTCCCCTTTTGCATTTCTTATGGAGACAAAGCAAAATAATATTTTTTTATTTTATGCCAGGCTCGCTTTTAGCTTGTGTCCTTGTGAACTCTTTGTGGCCACAGCAGCTCCCTGGCAGGACTTGTGCCAAGTGTTGGCCACCTCTGTGACCATGCTGTGACAATGGTCAGTGCCATTTAGCCAGAGCATCACTGGGGTGTTTAAGGTCACTCTGACCTTGAGTTCTGTTGGACACAAGTGCCTTGATGTTGTTCATCATTTTAGGGCAAGATAGAGTACCTTACCAAGATGTTAATATAATAAAAAGGAATGTCTGAGAAAGGATATCAGGTTTTCAGACCCTGCTGGGTGCACAGCAAAATCTTCATACAGCCAAAAACCACAGCACTTGCCTGGTTTCTCCAGCAGCTTGGAGAGCCCCAGGTGGGTTTGTGGGCAGACAGCAGCTCTGGTAGTCACAGTGGTGGGTAGACACAGCTTCAGGTCCCCAACAACCCCAAAATTAGGACTTCAGGGGAGGTTTGAGCTCTGCACCAGCATGATCCCAAAGCCACCCATGCACCAAGGTCCCATGCAGGAGCTGTATTTTATTTGCCAGCAGGCAGCATGAGTGAAGTATGAGCTGTCAGCTGGGCCACCTGTGGCAGCAGGGAATGAGAAAGAGCTTTGTTTTCCTCTTCTGGAGAGCTGTCCTCCTTTGCAGATGCTCTGCAGGCAGCTTTGCTGTGCTTATCTCCCTCTGAGGATTTCAGAACAGGTAGAGGTGGGACCCAGATGTTGCATTGGTCAGCTTCTTGAGCTGTGCTCCATCCAAAAGGACTGGAAGGTGCTTGAAGTGAGACAGAGATTTGCTCCTCTCTAACAGAGAGCTTTGTATTTTCCATCTACTGTGGTGTGGAAGCTTTAGCCTTCCTATCAGAATGACATTTTTTATTGGTTCTTAAAGGGAAGAAAAAACAAATTCTGCATCCTCTCTCAAGAACACTCTTGTTAATGTTCTTTGAAACATGACAAGTGTTGTGGCCATCAAACTGCAATGATCCTGTTCCTTCTGAAATGAGAAAAACATGTCACTTTTGGCTCTAAGTAATACAAAGGGAGAGGCACATTCTAGATGGGAGCTGCATGGCTGCCAAAGATGAAAGAAAAATGTTATTACTTTTGGAAATTTCATAATTACGGTTAATGATAATTTAATGAAATGACATTGTCTTCACCGCTATCGCTAATGAAATGCTTGAGAATGATAAAACCGATCTTGTTAAATAGAGCGAGAGTTTTGAGTGGAACAGCTTTATGACAGCACACTGCCTGCACAAGTCTTGAATTCCTATTTTTTGTTAGAGTAGCTCAAAAAAGAAGATTAAATGAAGGCTGCATGGCAAATAATGCACAAATGAGGTATTTAAAGGTCTTCCATTAAGCAAACAATACTGAACTCCTCAACAGCATGTTGATGACTGAGCACTGCTCCTTAGGAATGCTAACCCTTAATTAAAACACTTCCCTTGTTTTCCTTTGCAGGCAAACCAGAGAACAAGAAACCCCGCCTGACTTTTTTTACTTCTCAGACTATGAGAGACATAATGCAGAAATAGCAGCATTTCATCTCGACAGGCAAGTGGAACAGATTTACATTAAAAGGGGAAATATTGTGATAAGTTCCTGCATTTGGCCATTCCTGAAACTGAATTACTTTTTAAAAGGGGAAAGTGGAACAAAGGTGGGCAAATGCCATGAATAAGTGAAATGGCAGATGATGAAAGAGTAAGTTAATAATTAGGAAATGCGACTTACTCTGGGAATGAGAAACCTGGCGATAAGTAATTCTCAAAAAGAAAGAGAATTTATATTGAAGAGAAGCTGAAAAATTAATTTCCCTTGTGATCTTGCAGTAGATGTGGAGAGGACCCATCTCCCAGGGAATGTGTCACGTTAGTGTGACAGGAGCCTGGCTCACCCCAATTAGCCCCAGGGCACAGAGATGCAAAGGAGCCAAGGGGAATGGTGCATTCAGAGAGGAGTCCTTGAGATGGAAGGGAGTTCTGGATTCACAGCAAAAAGCTGGGACTGTCCCACATCAGCAGCATAGTTATGGCACAAGTTGATGGGAAGGAGAGGGCAGTGGGGGTCATCTCATGCTCCTGTTGCTGCAGATGTTCCCCCTCCAGAGTTAGTGCAGGGCATGGTGGATGCCCCAGGACTGCAGCCCTCCCTGCCTGCCCAGATGAGGGCTGGGAATTGCTAATTAGTGATTAACAGTATGTCTGGAAACTATGGCATTTCACTGAAGCATCTTTCACACTGTGAAAGGCCAAGAAACATCATTTCAAAAGCACAAAGCTTTCGGGCCACAAATTATTTGGGGTTTTGTGTAGCATTGCTGCCTTCTGGAATGATGGCTAGGGTATGGGAAAATGTCACTGGGTGGCACGGGGTAGGTTTTCCAATCCTGACTATATCCTTCAAGGATCTTCTCTATTTCATTGTTGTTGACCTTGGTGTTGATCCCTTCTGCTTTATATTTTATATTGCCTTTTTAAGCAGATGGTGCTGTAGAAAAAAACATCAGTGGAGTTCCTGCGGGGGGTGTGTTAAATATCCACACACTAAGCAGGAAAAACAGTTGCTACCCAGTGAAGGAAATCTGAACAGCAGACAGTGGATATAAAAATGCTGCCTATGGGGAGACTTTGTATGGGGTCTTTGCTGTTTTCCTGTGTCTCATAGCAGTGCTTCACAGGGAGGTTTTATGATCTATGAAGGAGGGGGAGTTTGGGGTAGGGAGAGGCTCTTCTCCCAGCCTTTGCCTGTGGGAAGATTTTTGGTCTCAGGGAGATTGTTTAGGTTGGTATAAGGGTATTAAAGCAGAGAGGAGCAGAAGGAAATAAATCAAACACATACTAAGGCTGTCAGAAAAAGAATTACATGGTGTTTATGGAGGAAAGAGGCTGAAATCCCATTCCCCAACTCACTTAAAAACTGGTGAGCAAAATGCATGTCATAACAACCATGAAGTAGCACAAAGTGAAAAAATAAATTTTTGCTGTCTCTGGTCTTTGGAATCATATGTATCTTCATTTTTATCCTGGAACAATGCCCTCCATACTTTTCTTGTGTTTTACTCCATACTACATATGCAATGCAGAGCTCATCACATTCAGGACATATTTTGTAATACACTACATGAGGAATTATCCAGTTTAAAGTGATGGGCTTTATGTTCTTTAAAACCCACAGATAAATGTGCCTTCAGAGTGTAATGAAGCTTCCTAAAAGCTGTAACTCCCATTACACTTTAATCCCTTCCATAACCCGCGTCTCCTGTGCCTCCTGCAGGATCCTGGATTTCCGGCGCGTGCCCCCGGTGGCAGGCAGGCTGGTGAACATGACCAGGGAAATTCGAGATGTTACTCGTGACAAGAAGCTGTGGAGAACATTTTTCATCTCACCAGGTAGCCCTGGAAATAACTCTCTCTTCTCTCTATCCCGCTGAACACGTACTTAAGGAAACGATGTGTAGATTGCTTAATTGCTCAGATATTTCTAATAAAACTGTCTTCCAGAGCTTTGAATAAAAATAAATGTGGAGACATAGCTTACAAAGAAGACTTTATTGTTTTGAGTTGAGTGCCTTTTCCCCTTGACAAATTATCTGCAGAGAGAGGCTTTTATGTTCACCAAAGTGTATTCAAAAAATGTTTTATGTAGAACAGTTTCTAGTGCAATTTTTTCTGGTGTTCTCAGTTTATCCAAACCCTCATTACTCAGCTCATTAGTTATTCAGTTGGGGTTTTTTCCCTACTGCAATGTGATCTGTCACTTCTGTTGGTCAGATGCATTTATTTGTGGGTTTGACTGGAGTAGCAAACCTAATTTCTCAGAGCCATTCAGGTTTTATTACAACAGGAGTTTGGACAAAAAAATCAGGAAATATATCTGTAATATATGCTGCCTGCAGCTCAAATTCTCTGTTGGGCTAGAGGTGACCTGAATTGTTCCCAGTCCTCACTCTTGCTTCGAGGGCTGACCCAGAAGCTGATACCACTCACTCCTCACTCACAACATTTTGTGGACCTGGTCAAGGATGGAGCTCCACAGGGTGGGAATTTTACAGGCACAGGATAAAACCCTATCCTGCTCACCAGAATATACAACTGGAATAGGGAAAAATTGACAAAAGGTGGGAAAAAGAGGTAGCATCTCTTATTTAACATCTGGGATGCTGAGATGGAGAAATTAAGGCTCTGAGTTAAGGCACAGAAATATTTAAGTTTGTTCTTACATATAGAATTTATAGGTTGTATGTTCAATTTAAAGCACAGTGCCATGTTCCAGTAGTTGAATTCATATTTTTTCAGCTGTGTGCAAGTGTGCTTTGCTGATCTGAGGCTGTGGCTTGTGTAAGAGGCAATCTGGAGCAGAAACCTCTGGAGATCTCTCCCTTGCTCTGTGTGTGATTGGCCAGAAGCTGTTTATCCCAGATCCCTAAAGTCGAGATCCAAAGACTTAATTACAGTTTCTCCCAATGTAACTGTAATTTATTGCTGTTAGCTAGAAACCAGGGCCCTGTCATTGCCGAGCTTTTGCTCTTAAAATGTTTATCACACTTTTCTGATCCCCAATAAAGTCATTATTACGGCTGCTATTTTTAGCTTCATATTTGTGTTCAGCTCTGCAGGACACAGTTGAGCAGACAGTTATTTATTCCAAGAACTTCACTAGTAAATTACATTACATAATTGCAGAAGGTTTCATTCTACCCAGTATTATGAGCACTTCAATTTTACATGCAGTTACAGTGACAATAGATGTTCACCATACCTGGTGGACACACACTTCTGCATTTGCCTTAGTTGATTTCTCTCCTTCTTTGTTTCTCTATAATCCTTTTTGGTTTTGGCTTGATTTTTGTAGGTAAATACATGCAAAAAATGGCAAAAAAAATCTTTTGTCTGTGCACAAGGTGCTTTGGCCCACTTTGAACATAAGCCATTTTATTCCTATTATGGCAAGTAAGATGTGGATTAATAGGTTTGCTTAATTTTTGGTGTTCCTACATTGTATTTCAAGACTTAGGGATGAACTTGAATTATTTCTGAGAATTAAAAAACTGTTCTCAAGTACTGAGCATCTTACAGCAGCCAGAGCAGGGCAATACAGAGTTAAGGCTGCCAGTTTGGATGAAGATCTTTATCTTTCCATTATGAAATTCCAGATATCCAAGCATAATCCTTTATTCAAATTTATTTGGAGGTCTCAGATAAATTCAATTAAAATATTTGATTAACTATGAATCAGGCTTTTCTGGAGAATAAAATGCTCAGGCAATTAATTTTTCTGTCCATTTTACATTTCCTGAATCAATATACTTTGGTTAAATCACGTTGGTTACTTGTCAGAGTTCTTCCCTACAAATCCCCAGCTTAATTAGTCAGATTCTCATTAACATATGCCCAACCTCTGTCTTATATTTCACACTGACCTTAAAAGGCAGACATTAATTAATGCTTAATGAAAAAATAACAAAGAACCTAAATTAAGCTTTTAGGAACAACTTCCACAAGGCCAGCAGGCAGCTCAGGCAGCAGAATGAGGGCAGGGAAGGAAGAGAAGAGGGAGGTGCTGGGGAGAGACTCATGGTCTGGGAGGTGAGGATGAAGAGGAACAGGGAGCCTGAGGAAGGCTCAGGGGCTGACTTGCTCCTCTGGCTGATGAAGGGCAGCTGAGGCTGCTGGTTTTGAGGGAGAGATGCCTCAAAATGTGAGAAATTGAGGTGTGACCCTCCAAACCCCTGCTGGTTTTGAGGGAGAGATGCCTCCAAAGGTGAGGAATGGAGGTGAGACCTCTGGGGACATGCACGCACCAGGCTGTGCACCAACATTAGCCCGTTTTGTTATTCCCCAGACCTGTGTGGGGATGTGTTGGAAGAAACCTCCCTGCATTTCCACTCCTGGGCCTCCTGCCTTGTCCCATCAGGTGTGGAAATCAGGGCCAGGGAGCCACAGGCAGCTTCAGAACACAGCAGCATCCCTGCTCCCATGCAAAAGTGACAATGGCTGTGAGCAGGCAGGTCAGGGGATGCATTAGGCTGCACTCAGAGGGAAAGCAGATTGCAGAAAAGTGCACTTTCAGGCAGTTTGGACTTAAACATGAGAAATGGAATTAGGTCAGTAATTATTTAAATTAATTTTACGTCCTTTGCAGCAAGGCAGACTGCAGTAGCCCTACTACTTTTACAAATGAATGGTAATTTGCTAGGAAAAAAGAGACATATTAATGATGTCAGCCTTCATTTTGGAAGTAATTGAGGCAGCAGCTTAAAGAAATCAATGTTACACAGTTAGTAAGCACTATGTTTTTGTTCATATTAACCAATTCCAAGGGATTATGGATTTTTTTCCCTCTCAGCATACAATAGAGTTCAGAATTACCTATTATTTTGAGCAGGTAAATGAAAGATCTTTTCATGCATTGCTGTAGTAAATATTCAGGATTCTTCCCAGTACTCCAATTGCATATGCTTGCTAAATGTCCTCTATTAACAGTCATGCAAAGCTGAATAAAAGAATTGCTCTGCTGAGCAATTTGCTTCAAGGTATCCCCCCTTGTTCCTTTTCTTCCTGAGAAGAATTATTGTTCAGCTATCAGGAGGATGCACAGAGAATTTGCAGATGAGTACACAGACACTCTGCTTCTTAATTGTTGTAATTAGTTGGAGTTTCGATCACCAGACCATGATTTTTGCCTGCATTTCATTACAAACCACATCCATTCCTCCTCAGATAATGAAAATCAGGCACTGCAGCACGGGGCTCTCTTGTCTCTCTGGTGCTTTGGGGAAACAATTTTGGTTTGTAGTGAAGAAGTGTTTTGCATGTTGGAAATGCTCAGCCTTTGGACATCCCAGGATGCATAAACATCCCTCCCTGTCTGGTTTGCCAGCACTACTGTTGTTGCCATTCCTGCCCACCCTGCAGGAGCACAAATTCCTGGCTGTTGCTCCTTTTGCAGGTGTACTTATGCAAGAAACACCTCTATCTGGTGAGAGGAACATATGGTTTGGGCAATTTCGGTGAGAGGAGAAGGGCTGTGCCCCAGTGGGGAGCTCATCTCCCCTTTCTCTCTGGTTTTTGCTTCGGGAAGCCAAACCCTGCTCCCAGCGTGGGATTGCCATGAAGCGCTGGGCTTGTGTCTCTAGCTGGAATTTCACCCTCAGCCTGCTGTGCAGAATGTGGGTCACCTACTTAGGTTTCAAAGAGCCTTGCTACAGCACCTTGAAGTCTTAAATGAGATCTCTGGTTTTCTATATTTGGTGCCTCTTTTTTTTTCCTTACATTTTTAAGAAACCTTAAAAATGAATGTTTCCCCTGATAATTCAGGCTGCTTCATCTTACTGCTGGTATGTAAGGACTAGGGCAGACATAATAAGATGTCTGTTCTGTATCAATCAAGGCAGTTAATTTCTTTAGCTTGAGATTCAGCATCCTTTCACCTCTGCTATCCCCAGAAATTGAACAGGAGCTGCAGGGAGTAGGTACCACAGGTCTGAACCCATGGGGGCAATAACTGCTGGCAGAAAAGGATTTACCATTAAATGTAACTTGTCAGTGAGAAATACACTTGTGGTTTTACTGCAAGTTCACTCTCTTAGTGGCAGGACACACCTTGCCATTGCTCAGGGCCCTGGATGCTGGAGCAGGCAATGGGGCTCTGTGGAGGATCAATAGCTGGAAGATGCTGGCAGGGATGAGTGGGATGAGTGGCAGGCAGCACATGTGCTCACTGCACAGCCCTGTTTGCAGAGCAGCAAACACCAAAGCCCCCAGCTCCCCTCAAGATTTACCTGGATACCAGTGTGATTACTGATTAGCCCCAGTTGCTTTCATTGACAATACAGAGCAGGGTTTCATTGTTCCCCAAGCTGAATGCAGAAGCAAACTGTTAAACAGAGTATTTATCTTCCCACTGAGCAAAATGCTGTGTTTAATACAACTCCTTTTTCTTGAAAGGTCAGATTTACATAGTGAGCAGCAGAGGCTGTGATGGTGTGGGGGGGTGTTTGCTGGGACTTTTGCTCTTTACAAAACTGATCCTGGAGGAGATAAATGAGCACTGGCTTCCTGCTGCCAGGTGGAAGTCAGGTCATAGAAACCCTGGAAGATAAGTTATCTCAGGCAGTCAAGATAAATCTGCATGGTTCCCTCCCTCCAAAGATGAGGGGGAGATGCTGACACAGCTGAATTAAAGCCCAAGCCCCACTGCAGCCTCAAATCAGCAGAAACACAATTTTTAAGAGAGGTTATTCTTCATTTATATCTCTTAAAACACTTAAATTGCAAACTCAGAAGTACAGATATGTTTGAGTGATCCCTTCCTCCCTTTTGTAATTTCTGTTCTTCCTTTTCTCTTCCCTGAAGTACTTTTCCTTGAGTAATTGTCAACAAGCTTTTTGGCCACAGAGTAAATATTTGTGGACTTAGCCAGGATATATTTAACTGCTACGATCCAGCCCTGTAAATATAAATATACAGTTTGGGCAAGTTGTTCCTGAGCATGGATGGATGGGTGGCCCTCATGAGTCAGCCAGAGCAGGGTGACGCAAAAGAGCTGTCTTAGGGTAAAGGAATCACAACTTCATGGGCAAATCAGGTGGCCATCAATAGAGAAAGCTGGGACATCAGTGGGAAGCTGGGACGGGTTGTCAAGTAGCAACACATCAGCCTTGTAGTGTGGTTATTTGGTATAATTCCATGGTTTAACAGCCGGCCCCAGATAATGCAGCTGATTAATAAAAGCATCACGAGACCTTTTTGCTGTTCCATGTTCCCCTACCTCTCCTTCCTCAACCACAGCTCCTTGCTGTGTTTCTCCCTCCCTCCTGTCATCCCCAGAGTTGTCCCTGCCCTCCTGACTCGCCATCTCCCCCTGGCAGTGCCCATCTGCACTGGGCACTGTGCTGGATGTGGGATGTCACAGTGCCATGCAGGGCTGTGTGCTGCAGGGCACCACTGCCATGCAAACCCACACTTACCTTCCTGTGGCAGGCAGAAAATCACCTCCTGCTACTCCCAGTCCTTCCTGCCTCCTTTGCACCGAGCCTGCCCAGAGGGAGAGGAGCTCAGAAACAATATTTGAATTTAGAGGCCTTGTGGGGAATCAGGAAGCAATGTGACTTCTCAGCTTCATGCATTAGCATGAGGAAAAGGCACAGCCTTCCTCTAATGACATTTTATGTGCATAAAGCAATGTCACAAGAGTTGTAGCACACTGGCAAGAGCAGCAGTGTGCTCCTATTCCTGTGCACAGTATGGTGTTGGTGGGCATTGGGGATGAGCTGCTCTCTCTCACCTTCAGTGAATTCCTGTGGGCAGGATGTTCTTGTAAAGATGTGGGTGTTCCTGTTGGTACAGAAATATGTGGTGGCAGTTTTGGGGAGGTTTTAAGGTAACACACGGTCCAAAACCTGCTGCAGATTCTTTTTCTGTGGTTGTTGGAGTAATGTGAGGTGTGGAGGAAGGAATTAGTGTTTGAGATGTGTGCTGACAGCGTTACGTCCGTGCTATTTCCACCTTCCATGCACACCCCCACGGGGCTCTGGATGGTAAATAATTCTCCTTGCAAAAACTGCCAGTTCTTCTCATACCAGCAAGGAAATGAATGAAATGTTCTCTGGTCTAAAAGAAACAAGCCATGATTTTGAGAAGTGACTTAATCTTGGGCACATGCCACTTGTTCAGCTGTGGGATTTGGGGTTCCAGCCTAGGGTAGCAAATAGCTCTCAAGGAATGTATCAGTCTGGGAAAACAAAAGAGAAAGGACAGGATTTAAAAAAAAAATAAAAAGGTTTGGGGAATATAAATAGACTGGAAATAGTCACAAAGAGCTTTGCACAGGGCGTGATCTCAGCCACTGAAATAATGTCTTTCTACTGTTTTCAGTGGAGGAAAACTATGTGTGGTAACAGGGGTTTGGATTTATTTCTGCTCCTACATACATCAGTGCTTTTATGAATTCTCAATACTAATTTAAGAGTAGGCTTTAAAGCTCTTTTCCTTTCTTTGCCAGCCAACAACATCTGCTTCTACGGGGAGTGCTCCTACTACTGCTCAACAGAGCACGCCCTGTGTGGGAAGCCAGACCAGATCGAGGGGTCCCTGGCTGCTTTCCTGCCTGACTTGTCCTTAGCAAAAAGGAAAACCTGGAGAAACCCCTGGAGGCGTTCCTACCACAAGCGCAAGAAAGCAGAGTGAGTAGTGGGGAGCAGAGCTGCACAGGGTGGCAGGGAAATAACCCAGTCCTTTCCTCTGGGAAGGGACAGAGCATTTCACATGCCAGGAGCTGCAGTTTGTGCTCCTGAACCCAAATTCAGTGGCACAGTTCCCTCATGGGACAGGTACCTCCTGTGGCATGGACAGGATGCTATGGGACCTGTCCAAGCCCTGTCAAAGGGATAAAGATGCACTGATCTCAGCAGCCCTGAGCTCTTTGCACCATATCACTGACGGTGCAGCTAGTCTCCTAAATCCTGAACCAGATTGTTTTCAGTCTTGTGATTTTCTTCCTTTTTCATCAGCCACAATCTTCCTTGCTTGCCTGCATTGCTGGAATTTGCTGCCTCTACCTAACCATGCCCTTAATCAAACATGATAAAAGTAGATCTTTGCAAAATAACATTTTTTTGTCATTTTCAGTAAGCTTTGTATATTGCATAAAATATCAAAATATTGCCTTTTCCAGATGGGAAGTTGATCCAGATTATTGTGAAGAGGTTAAACAAACACCCCCATATGACAGTGGGACCAGAATTCTGGATATAATGGATATGACAGTTTTTGATTTCCTAATGGGTATGTTTCATCTCTTTCAAAAATTAAATGCAACATTTAATTAGAATAAGAACCATTTCTTTCTGCACTGCTCTGCATAGCTCAGCAGTTTGCTAAAGCGTGGCTGAAGCTGCATTTACTGTATGTGCTTTTCTAGATGATTATGGGAAAATGCAGATTTACATGGTTATGTATTCCCATCAGTGCAGATTAAAGGAACAAAGATGTTCAGAAATGCAGAGTGGTGATGAATGCAGGTCAGGCCAGTCTCCTTCACAACAGTGAAGGGCTTCACAGTTTGCTTCAGTGAGTGCTTTGCCCCTATAATATATGGCTCCTGGATGCACATGCAAGGACTGCTCATTATGGTGCTTTGTTTTCATCCTGAAGGAGTGTTCTCTATAAAATGTCAGTGTTGGGGGGGAAGAGGCATTGCTTTGTCACAAAGGCAGCTGTGAATTGTATCAGGAATTTTTCTGTTTATGTAACCTGATCTCAATAAAACAATTATTTACAGCCAGGTACTAGTGATCCATTCCAAGCCTAATTCTCATTCTCATATGAAACCTTTGCTGCTGCAGCAAATACACCTCTAAGTTGCCAACCTACATCCTTGATCCTTGGGCACGTGCCAGCATGGACACATCCTGTGCCATTGCCCTCACTGAGATTGCTGCACTGGGCTGCAGCAGGAGAGGCCAGGTGACAGCTCAGGAGCCATATGTGGCATCTATAAGTAGCTCAAGACCCCTGCCAGGGAGACAAAATTCATAGCTTAGCACCAGTGCTCTGCACATTGGCCTTAGAAAGCAGCTCACACAGGGAGAGCTGTGCAGCTGTGCAGATCAGCGCCATCCTGGTCCATATTTCACAAACATGAAGCTGTTCTGGCTTCCCAGGCAGCCAGCAGCTGGGGCAAAGTCCTTACCAGAGGAAAACCAGGATGCTTGGGATTCAGGAAGCTGAATGCAATATTAACAAAGTGATCAGGATTAACATCCCTGCTCAGTGCAGGGCATTTTCTCCTACCCTTGCACATGTGAAATGTACCATGTCTGCCTGACACACCCTGCTGAGCCCAGGCTGCAGCAGCAGGAACACAGCTGCCCTGCAGGTGCCTCGCCTCCCCAGGCAGCTGAGATCCCTTGGGATGGAGAGGGGGTTCCTTGGTGTACCCCAGGAGGGGTTCATGGAGGGGGGAAGGTTGGCTTTGCCTCCTGATGGTCCTTTTAGAGCTCAAGTACAAAAGGCACAGAGAATTTGAAAAGCTGCCAGAGGTTTAACAACACCTCCAGTATCACACACTTTGGGGTGTCTGCTGTAGGAGCTCTGCAGGTTTGCTGCTTTCTCTGCTCTGTTTTTGGGCAGCACTGGGCTTTTGCATTGCCCTGACCTGCAGGCTCAAGCCAGAGTGAGAATCGTCTTTTTTCTTCTCTTTGTCCCATAGGTAACATGGATCGACATCACTATGAAACCTTTGAGAAGTTTGGAAATGAAACTTTTATTATTCACTTAGATAATGGAAGAGGGTAAATATCTTTAATAATCTTTTTGGGGTTAAAGGAAAAAAAAAAAGTCAGTCTTTAAAACAGCCTTTGTTACATTCTTGCTCTTATCTTTAAATAGGTTTGGAAAATATTCCCATGATGAACTTTCCATTTTGGTGCCTTTAAACCAGTGCTGCAGGTATGTTTTCCCTCTGGAGGTGTTTCTTGGTTTGTACCATGGTTTCCACTAACAGGACTGAAAATCTTTGATTGAATCTTTCATTGCACACTGTGGAGAGGAGGAGGTGGTGTGATCCTGCCCAGCTAGCCCTGAGCATTGGCACTGCCACATTCAATGCTCTTTGGCATCAGGGCCTTGTAGGAACACGGCTGTGAGATGTTGGGAGAAAAGCTTTAAGACAAAATAAGATGCCATGGAAGTCAAGTGACAAAATCCTAGCTTGTTCACATGATTCTCAACAGCTTTCCTTGGTGCCCATGTTCAGGGTTTTCAGAGGGTGACATTCAGAGTTTCAGCTTTGCAGGGTGAGCCTGAGGAGCCCCTGCTGCTGTCACACATGTCCCTGCTCAGTGCCATGTGTGTCACACGTGTCATTCCAAGGTGGACATGGCCCGGTGAATGCTGCACCAGCTCTACTTGGTGCCTTTCCAGGTGAGGGATGTGAGGGCTGCCTGCTCTGCCCCTTGGATCTGTGCTCCAAAACCTCTGCACCTCTGATGGCCCCAAAGATCAGTGACAGGTGACAGACAATGCCAGCTGCTCGCTAGGACTGTGACAGTGCCTGGCTCTCCTCAGTTCAGATCACAGAATAGTTACACTATTACTGTAATTCTGGCCTTTTAGCACTGTCGAGATCAACAGCGGTGGAAATTACTGATTTGCATTTTTTTTTCCCTCCTTTTCTTAGAATCAGGAAATCTACCTATCTGCGATTACAGCTGCTAGCCAAGGAGGAGTACAAACTCAGTCTCCTGATGAAAGAATCTTTGCTAAAAGACAAAATAGCTCCAATCCTGTACCAGCCTCACTTGGAGGCCATGGACAGGCGGCTGCGGATTGTGCTCAAGGCTGTCAGTGACTGCATAGAGAAGGATGGCTATGACAATGTGGTGGAAAATGACTTTAACACTGATGTTAACACTGTTGCCACTGAGAGGTAGTGAAATGGCAAGACTACGTTTTTACCAGCCAAGAAGATTCAAAGAAGGAAGAGAAACAAAAGAACAACAACAAAATAAAAATAAAGTCTTGCAAAAGACTGTGTATGCTACTTTGTGAATTCAGTGAATTCAGAAATGAGATATAATTGTTCCCAAAGTAGGTAAAGTGTAGACTCTGCAAAGGATTAGTTCATTAAGAAAAAATAAGTCTAATGTGATGCTTTTCATTAGTTCCTGAAGAGAGATTATGAAAAGATTCAGAAAATACTCAATCATGGACAGACAGCAGTCTGATAGCAAAACACCTCCTGTCCTTTTTGTATAGAAAGGAGGCCTTTACTTAATATTTTGTATTTATATATGGTATATCTATGAAACCCCAGACCTACCTTCCAAATTTAACTAAGAGGGACAGCATAGTTTTGTGACTCACACTTTATTTGTGGTGACAGTCCACTTAGTATTTTGTGTTAACCCTTTAAGTGCTCTAATCCACTGTATCTTATTTAAATTGAATGCTTATTTTCCCCCCAGCTACTCAGCATTTAAAGGGTTAAGGCATTATGAACTTTTAAAGGCAAAAAATAATAATAATAATAATGATAATAATGATAATAAATACAGGGGTTACCAGAAGGGAATTTCACTAATTGTGCTTTGACAGGAATACTTGAATGTTGGTTTTACAAAGTGATGTAAAATGACAAGTTGTACTATTTGTCCATAAGGAGGTGGCAGCTCTTATCTTTCTAGACTATCATAGCTGAGCTGCTACTTTTCAATTTTGCTTTTGATAGTTTTGTGTAAATATATACATATATGGGTAAAAAGCTGCTTTCAGCAGCTCTAGGCTTACTTTTGCAGCATTTTTGTGGAATTGTTTGCAACGTGGTAAAAGTGCAATAAAGATATGCAAAATGTGTAGCCATCTTGTCTAAATGGATTCATTCATCTTGTTCAGAGCAAAGCTCTGTGCACCAGCCAAGTGGTTGTTGAAATTGTCATCCCCTTTTGTAGAATAGCAAATGGAGCTGGAGCAGGGAACTGGTGATTAATTGGTGATTAATGCACACTGCAGTGCCAGTAAGGGCTGGGGTGTTGAAAAGGGTTAAATCTTTCCTATGAAAGCATTGTTTTGATGTCATTTCAGCATCCCTTCCTCTTGCAGTTATGGCTGTAGAAACAAGATGTGGAGCAACACCTCTCAAAGATTATGCCTTGACACACTGCCGAGAGGATTTAGAAACACCAGCGCCTCTGACCTGGGCTGGAAAAACCTTTGCACAGCCTAGAAAATCCTGGCCTAAATTAGCTGGAAACATGGTATTCTTATCCAAATAGCCTTGAATCATGCTCAGTTGCATTCATTTAAGATTTGTGGAGACTCTCAGCCCAAAAGCAAGCTATAAATTGAACACGTGGCTGTGTTTGACTTGTGAAAACATGGTGTGGTACAGCAGGAATCCCTCATCACTCCTCTGGGTGAGGAGAGAATTTATTGTGACAGTGTTCATCACAACTTTAATTCAAAGCTGCCATTTATTTCGTTTGATGTCTTTTTTCCCAGGGATTCATAACCATATACTTTAAAAGCTAGGTAGACTAAAATGTAGACATTTCAGCATATTAAAATTATGAATGAGAGAAAAAGCTGCTGTATGAGCTCATTCACTTCTTAGGTTGATATATTATCACTAAAAAACACATGTATTTTATATTTTATTGCCCATTTCGAATTCCCATGGTTCTCACATACATGCCATACAAAGACAACAGAATATCTCAAATTGTACAACTTGGAAAGTTCATGAACTTGGAAATTTTCTGGTTTATTCCATGGCTTTTTTTCACCTTTGAAGACCCATCTATGATGACAAGGATTCCTCTGCAACACAGCACTGGAACTGCAGTGCTCCCTCCCCCTTAGTCAAAAAGAAAGAAAAAAAAATCAAAATATGGGAATATAAAAAGGTGAAATGGGTGGTATTATCCTTGGTCTATCTTCAATGCCTGGCTGTGGTTTTCCTGCAAGTGCAGCTTTTTCTCACCATGAAGTTGTGCCAGGGCAGCAGAGGAGTGATAGAATCACCTTCCCAGGGCAGCTCTGCTCTCTGCTTCTGGGCTCAGCTCTGCAAACCTGGTTTGCTTTAGGAAAGCAGCACTTGGCAGCCTCTTTGTTCAAAGAGGATCAGATCAGTGAAGGTCTTGGCTCTTTAGGGGCTGGGTGTAGGTCAGGGGCTCCTGGCAGGGTGGTTCAAGCTTCTCTCCCTGCAGAAGGCTGCCTGGTGCTGTCAGGGATATGAACTCACTGTTATGGACCTGGTTCTGAATTTCTACAAGCAAAATCAGTAGGTTTTTATAGATTAAGTGTTGTAAAGTATGGAATAGGTAGTGTTTGTACAGGGTGTAAAAAACTTAAGGTCATTAATCCTTTCCACACTGTAAAGAGCTCTGAGGGCCTCCAGTTTCCTTCCCCCGGACTTTGATGCTCCCCGTTGTAAGCTCTGTGCTGCAGCTTTCTAGGCTCATAAAAATTCTTCTCATTTCTACTCTTAAACCAGGCATACAGAAAAGCTGAAGGGGAAGCTTTTCTTTGGCATGAGACATGCACATACCTTGGAAGGATGGAGACCCTGGCTCACATGAAGGAGAGGTTTCCTTTCTGTGGTGCCTCTGATGAGAAACTGGGGTGAAAGAGCCCCACGTGGGCCATGCAAGCCTGAATTCACTGCAGGCTGCTCAGGAGATGGATAGCAAGAGCTGAGCCCAGACCCCACCTGTGGTCAGGGCAGCTGAGGACACAGCTCATCTGCAGGATGCTGCAGGGCTGGAAGGGATGATTAATTAATTAATTAAAAGGCTGTGCAGTTACTCCTCAGTATCTACCAGGAAGCTCTGGTGTGTTTGCATTCCCGCTGCCAGGCAGCTGGAGCTTTGACTCATGTTCATTTTCTAGGATTTTGGGAAGGGAAAAAGAATTATTGCCTTGTTCTGCTATTCCTTCTTTATGTGGGCAGGGGTGAGTGGGCACGAGAGACAGGAAACTGCAGCCAGGGAGTGAACTTGGGGTTCTGCCTTGCAGTTCTTGGGGTAACACAGCCAAGGGAGGGGCAAATGCCCACTTTTGGGGTGCATCTGCATTGCCCCAAGACACAGCTGGTCTAAATTCCTTCTGGAAACCTCGTGGGTTTGCCTTTAAGCAAAGGATGCTGCTGTCTGAGCCTGTGGCTCTGAGAGAGCTGTCATTGTGTGTTTGGCCAGTAATCAGGAACTGGGGAGGATTAGTGTGATGTGGTGTAACATCTCTTTAGGAGCCCCACATATTTACCAGACAAAAATGTTCACTCTAGGAAGATAAATAAATGTCAGAATTCAATTGGTTTGTCTCTGAATCTCAGAAGCTGGTGTAGCAGCAGGGCCCAGGCAATTAACACACTGAGAAATCTGAGATAGCCTGTCAGGGGCATAATGTGTTCAGCACAATAAATACAGTATGCACAATAAATAACGGATAAAAATAGATAATATATTTCTAAAAGCACCTAATTACAACAGTATCTGACAGCACAGGATAGTTTACCGTATTCTCCTGAGTAATTCAGAGGAGAGCTTCATTTGTTTTTGTGGTTTTTCTGTTATTTAAGCATCAAAGGGAAATTGCAGGCAAAAAGCTCCCATTGTTTGAAGTAGGTATCAGTGTTGTGATCAGCAGAGCCCGTGATGTACACACAAGCTGGAAGCCTGGAGCAGATTGCAGTGTAAGCAGCAACAAGATGTGCTGTGTAGGAGGAGGGAAACTGGGATTTCAGCCTGGCTGCTGCCCTTGGGCACTGAACTGAACATGAACTTCAGTGGGCATTCCAGGGAGGAGCATCCCAAGGCTGTTCTGGTTCCATCTGCTGGGCCTGAACGTGGTGCAGGTCTGAGGGGGGCACCCTGCTGTCCCCAGCACTGTGGCATCCACATCCTCTGAAAAATTCCTTTGCCCAGGATTTTTCTCCTGGGAAGCTGAGAAGCCTCAGAGAAAATGAAAACAGTTCTTATCTCATTTGCTTCTCCTGTGTTTTGCTCGTGTGGAATGTGTTTGGAGATTGTTTACCCACAGGTGATTGTTCCATTGGATTCTGGTGCGAGTTGTTTTGACTCATTGGCCAATCAGTGCCAAGCTGTGTCAGGGCTCTGGAGAGAGTCACAAGTTTTCATTATTAACTTTTTAGCATTGAGTAAATATCCTTTCTGTATAGGAAACAATACTTACTCAATGCTAAAAAGCATAGTATACTTTTTAGTATACTATACTTTTAGTATAGTATAACATTCTTTAATATAATGTAGTTATATTACTACATTATATTAAAGAATGTTATACTACACTAACATTCTTTAGTTAGTAATTATTTAATTAAGAATTAAAGAATTCTTTAATATAATATAGTATTCTTTAATATAATATATTATTCTTTAATATAATATAGTATCATAAAATAATAAATTAGCTTTCTGAGAACACGGAGTCAGATTCATCATTTCTGCCTTCCTTGGGGCATTCCCAGCAAATACAATAGTCCAGCAATGGCTTTGTCCCCTTGGCACATCCAGACCCCACTAATGCCTGCCAGCAAGGCTCTTGTGACCCCAGCCTGAAAGTGCTGAGTGTCCTGCTCAAAGCTGGACACAGACTAAACCATTGATAATTTGCATCCTGAGGGAGAAAATCTTTCTTCTAGCACTGACTGTATAACTACAAAGATCATTTTCCAGAAATTATTCCAGCTATCAGTTGTTACTACAGAATTTCTTGCCCAGGGTTGTTTATTTGGGGCCCAATACACAGAAATAATTGTGCACAAGAAAATTCTTTTGAAACTAAATTGAGTGTGTTTGGAGGAAATTTTGAGTGTTGTGGGATGAGTTTTCACATGGAATTTCAGGTTATTACCAGTTGGAAGCTGATGGATTTCTTGAGAATAATATTTTTATGCTTAAAGTCTTTCTAGGTAGCCTCCAGCCGTAACTCTGTCTGACCAGATCAAACTCAATTATCTGCTCCCCTCTCCATTTGCATCAGTAAAGTACCACTTCAATGCTTTTGGGGGCTGGCTAGAAAAAAATTAAAAGCAATTCAATTTGGCGGGTCAAAAGACTCGAGAATTGAGGTCAGCCAAGTTCTGGCCATGGTTAGGAATGAAGCATCAGCAAAAAGGAGGCTGTTGATTTGGCAGCACCAATTCCTCTTACCGCAATGCAAGGGCAGGGCAAAGATTTGTGTTTAGAAAAGAACTGCTGGAATACCTGCTGCTCCACCTTTTTAGACATATTAAACATTTTCCATGGTTTTCCATTTATGTGACTCTGATGTAATTATGATGACCAGCTAAGGGGGTTCTGAGCAGGATGGAGGGAATGCTCACATCTGCATCCAATCTTCTCTGTGAGGATTTGGGTGCTGGGAGATCAGCTCCTCTCTTTCAAATGACCTTACTACACAATCAGCCCCATCCCCTGTCACCAATAACTTGTGTTAAACCTTGAATCTTGCTCAGGTATGGGCCCAAACCCAGCAGCCTGCAGATGGAATCAGCAGCTGGAACCAAAGCAGAACATCCCAAAATTGGAGATGTCAGGTCAGAGCACTCTCCACTTCCGTGAATGTGGGACTCTGGGTCACATTGTGCCTTGGCCACAGTCATGGATTTCATTAGGATCTCATCATAAACTCCTCTGACACTTCTGGAAAGGTGCTGGCTGACAGACACATGCACAAAACCACCTATGGCATCTGCTGGTTGACCTTGACATAACTTTAAAATACATCCCAGGGTGTCTTAAGACAGAGAATTGAAAATTTCAGCCCTCCAGCTGCTGTGGCTGTGCAGCACCAACCCTGTGTCCCTGGAACATGGTGATCCCTGTGCACCCTGGATCACT